GAACTTCTCCGGTGAACTGTCAGCTCGGGTCCTGTCGTCCTTTCAATCTGGTTTACATTTATAAAATATCATTCTGGTTTCTTGGTGAAGAATAGACTAGAGGGTAGCAAGAATGGAAGGAGGGGGATGAATGAGTTATGGTGATTATTGTAGAAGTCCAGGGTTCTGGAAGTAAAAGTGATGAGAAATGGTCTAATTTGTGATATATTTTGAAGGTAGAGCAGACAGGACATACTGGTGGATTGGATTTGGGCTGTGAAGGAAAGACAGGTTTTTTGGGAAGACTGAAAGAGGAACATGTATAAGGGTGGTGGAATCAGGAGTCCTATTTTGGACTTGGTAAGTTTGAGGTGATTGCTAGACATGCATATAAAAGTGGATATACATGTCTTGAGCTCAGGGGAAGGGTCAAGTTGGAGATATAAAATTGAGATTCCTATATTGAGCCATAGGACAAGATAAGATCAGCTAGCAAGAGAGCATTGACAAAGGAGAGGAGAGGGCTGAGGACTAAGCCTTGGAGGAATTCAACATTTAGAGGATGGGGAGAGGAGGAGGGATTGAAGGGACTAAGGAGAAACTTCAAGGAAAACTGGAAGAGTGGGGGTCCTGGAAGGCATATAAAGGATGTGTCTAATGGGTGAGTGCCAGATGCTGCTGAGAATTCACATGTGATTGGGAATGAGAGTTGACTAGCTCCTTAGAACTGCTTCATGGCTGGTTGGTTAGCTCACTTGGTTAGAGTGCAGCCTTATAACCCCAAGGTCATGGGTTTGGATCCCCTTACTGGCCAGCCACAAAAAAACAAAAAACAATTACTTCGTGTATAACAAAGTGATACCTGTGCCTGTGTTTCTCTTTAGTCTTGGCGATATTCCTATGTGAAATAGGGTTAGTCAGTGCTTCTGCTTGACAGACGATGAAATGAGATGGGAAGTAAGTCACCCTGATCAGTTTGGTGACAGTATGAGGAGTGGAACCCTGGTTTTCTAATTCCTTGGTTTTCTAATTCTAGTTCCTTTCACCTCCACTGCTATTGTGTTATTGTT